AAACCCTGTCTCGAAAAAACCAAAAAAAAAAAAAAAAAAAAGAAAGGTTCCAAAGCTACACAGAGAAACCCTGTCTCAAAAACAAAAAACAAGACAGCCAGAGCTCTGTAGAGAGACCCTGTCTCAAAAAAATAAAAATAAGGGGCTGGAGAGCTGGCTCAGTGGTTAAAAGCATTGACTGCTCTTCCAGAGGACCCGGGTTCAATTCCCAGAACCCACATAGACTTCACTGTAACTCCAGTTCCAGGGGATCTGGCGCCGTCACATACATGCAGGAAAACACCAATGCACAGAAAACAAAAACAAATTATTGCACCAGCAATATGGCTCTGTTGCTAAGTCTGATAACCTGAGCATGCATAAGTAGAGGCACACAACAAGAAGGAACTATAAAAATACGGGGCTGGAGAAATGGCTTAGTCGTTAGGAGCACCCACTGCTCTTTCAGGAGTTCAAATTCCAGCGCTCACAACTGCCTGTAATTCCAGTTCCGAACGGTGATACCTTGTGCCCCTGGCATCTTCATGCCCCTGCCGTCACGGGCTCACATACACATACACAGTCTTTTTAAATATAAGTCATCTCTATCTACATACACTGTGTGTGAACAGATGACAGGTACAGGATGGAGGCCAAAGGACAGCTCTGTGGAGCCAGTTCCCGTTTGGCCTTTCTGTGGGTTCCGGGAATTGAACTCAGGTCACCAGCCTTGCAGCCACTGACCAGTTCCAAATAAACGGGTAGGCCCCCAGGCATGACTGCCACTGCCTTCAGTCACACAGGCATTGCTCCAGGGTTCCCTGACCCTGCTCTCTCTCCTCAGTAACCCACTGCAAATGGTCTCCTTCCTGAACCTTCTGGTTCTTCCTGGCACTTACGCAGTGGCCAGGCCTACTCTTCCAGGGCTTGCTGCTTTTATCCCTGTTCATCCAGTATCTCTATCATTTATTTATTTTGGTTTTCCGAGACAAGGTTTCTCTGTGTAGACCTGGCAGTCCTTGAACTCAGAGCTCCTTCCTGCCTCTGCCTCCCAAGTGCTGGGATTAAAGGAGTGGGCGGCCGCATATTCCTGGCAGTTCCTCTGTCACTGAATTCTTGACCTGGATGGAATTCAGCCAGCAGGGAGTCTGACGATTGATTGCAAACCGTCTAGAGCCGCGTCCTCCGAGCACATGACCTGACATGACACGGGGAGCCTTATCAAAGCCTTATCTGGGGCTGGGGTAGCCCTTGGCCGTGGACTTGCCGGGGGAAGCAAGGGAGCTTGTGGGATGAGACAGCGCACCCCAGCACTGGTGGCCCAGGCAGGCCTGCTGCCAGTTCAAGGGCAGCCTGTGCGCCACAGCGGGTTCTGGAAGTCAGCACCGGGTGGGAAAGCATCTGAAAAAAAGGCATCGCGTCTGCCTGTCAGTTCAGTGTTGGGAGGCGGAGAGCTCTGTCCACACGCCCGGCTGGGATCTGAGCTTTGCTTTATACAATGTGAGTCTTCCAGGCTGGGGACGGAGCGCGGGCGGCACAGTGGTCGCCGTACGCGCCCGAGGTCCTGGGTTCGATCCCCGGCCTAGGAAGGCGGGCGGCGAGAGCACGGACTTTCCAGGCGGCAAGGCAGACATTTAACTCTCTTTTCGGGCGACTCCCCCCTCATGCCCAAATATGGCACCGGCCCAGGACACTTCCGCCCTCTTCAGACGCGCCTTCCGCCCAGCTTCGCGTGGCACTAGGCGACCCGCGCCCGCTCACGGCCCCGGGCTGCTCGTCCAGACCCGGAGGGCTGAATGAAACTCACCGTGAAGCAGGTCCCACTGGACGAAGAGTTGGTCGTAGCACGTCTCAGGCAGAAGAATCGGCACCAGCACCCGTCGGAACAGCCCGTCCGCCTCGGCCGCCATGTTGGAACGGTGGCTTCCGCCAG